TTTTTAATCGATATGTCAAATGATTCTACATAAAAGAGTACGAGGAAGGATTCAGCACGGAAGAATCAAGCCATACATGATGGATATGAACTGACAGACGAGACTTTAGCAGGGTGATTTTATGGAAGTTGTTGATGCGATATCAACTAAAGCACATGCTAACATTATTTTTTTTTTTTTTTTTTTGGTGAGTTTGAAAGAAAGATTTAAGAACTGAGACTGCAAACATACTTCACACAAGTACGCGAATGCTCTGCTAACAATGTGGTGTAACAAACTCCAGTCCTCAAGGGGGCGATAGAGTGCGTGTGCCATTTACATTTAAAATCGTCATAAAATCAAAATGGACTCTTATTTACTTTGTTAGCACACATTAGTCTTGTGGTGAACAATTAATCCATGCAAGTTAATATACAGAAAAAACATTTGTCGTGATAATCTTTGTAGAAGCATTTCCTGGGATTCGAACCCATAAACTTTTTGTGTTGCTGTGTTATTAGTAGATGATCTGAAAGAAACAATTCTGACACATTTCACAAAGGGAACACACTCATCTATTTATTAAAGAATCCAGAGAAATAAAATGCATCAGTTTCCTCAAAAATATTACTGTTTTCAACACTCATAATAATCATAAATGTTTCTTGAGCATCAGATCATCATATTAGAGTGATTTCTGAAGGATCATGTGACACTGAAGACTGGAGTAATGATGCTGAAAATTCAGCTTTGATCACAGGAATAAATTACAGTTTAAAATACACTCACATAGAAAACAGCCGTTTTACATTGTAATAATATTTCACTGTTTTTGATCAAATTAATGCAGCCTTGGTGAGCAGAAGAGGTAAAAACATAAACTTAATCGTATTGATTTGAAACATTTGAGTTTGTACTTGTGTCGAGTATGTTTTTTGTGTTCAATAAAGGAGAGCAATGGCTTGAACAGAGTCTCAAGACGTGTTTTAGCGTGAAAGAAACGCAAAACTCGAGGCCTGAGACTCTCGTTTGTACCGCTGATGGTCCAGCTGGGTGTGTGTGACGGTGTTTGTACAGATGACGGTGTAAATACTCTGTATAGCTTCTTTTCATTGAGTCACGTGCTTCTTTTCACTGTGAGTTGTGGCTTCCATCAGTCGTGTGACGTGTGGTTATCAGCTTAACGTTTGTAATATACTCTATCTATATGTGTAGCACAGATGACGTGTAAATACATGTGTTTATTAATTAATATTAATGTTATTGATCTTTATTAGGGCAATTACTGATCATTGATGACTGATGAAACATGTATTTATAAGATTTGCTGTATCGTGCGATATACTTTTGGAGAAGAGTTCTAGCAAATAAAGCTGTTATGATGAATAATAACTCCTGTTCTGCTTATTCCAGCATTTACACACTGAATAAATGACACCGGACACACAGAACAGGAATAACTCATGTCTTTATTCACTGTAAAATGATGTCACATCCGAGAGTTTGAAAGCATTAGTTTCTCCTCAGCTGCCCAGTATTTAGAATCTTTAACTGTCATTTTTTGAATTTGAATGGAGTTCCAAACAGGAAGCAGAATTCTAATGTGACAGTTCCACTGATCTATATAGAATGACTGGATAGCTCATGACGTCATAAACAGTGAAGCCACCGCGCCGCCATATTGTGATTCCCTAGTGAGCTCACGCGTTCTATTGAATCAATAGGAAATTGTATGATTTGACTGAGAAAACATTGCATAACGAGACACCGTCTTTAAATCTATAGTCTCCCTGAACAGTCTTACAACGCAAACATCCTAAGCATTTAAATTGGTATTTGTTTAAAGTCGGAAATTATTCCTGCTTACTAAAAATTAAGTATATGTGAATTGTGAACTTAAAATTTAGCTCTTTCTGATTGTGTTTTACAGATAGATCAGTAGTCTGTTCAAGTATTTGATTAGTTAGCAAGAACATGTCCAGGAAATGCATAATACAAATTGTATGGTTTAAAGTAACAACAGGTAACTTTTCAGCCTTCATAATATATTTCCAAGTCTCTTGTGATGGTACATCGACTTACAATAGGTTGAATGACACGTCTGCCATAGCCTGATGGGGTCTGTAGCGTTTTTAATCGTACTTTTAAACTTCGGGTTTCGGGTAGTAACCGGCGAACAAAGAGAACTACAAAATTCGACTGCTTTACGGCATATACGTCACTTCCACCACCACCCCCACTTCCTTAAAATCGGACTTGCGAGCCAAATGTTATAGTCATGGCCGAAGCAGCACAGAAAAACAAGAAAGCAAAGGTTTTATCGGAGCAAAGCAAAAAGAGAAAAAGAGAAAGTGATCGCGTTAAAGGCAGAACGAGGATCAACATTGCAGAGCTGCCAACTCACGCATTGGCCGTGAGACACCCGCTTTTGATTGGTTTCACACGCCACACCCCCGGTTTCTCACGCTAAATTGTCAACCCGGTCGGTCAAATGCCTGAAAGATGAGTTTATCTATAGATCTCTACCTGTTGAGCCACTCGTGATCGACAAGTTATACCGCAAATTAGTTCAAATCTCCCGGAATCTAGAGCGAGCGCGCACGCGAGACAGAGACTGTGCTCCAACGCGCGCGGACGGCAGAGAGAGAAAGCGAGCGAGAGACCTTGCGTGTGCAGGGAGCATCGAACCCCCCATCGACAAAAGAATGCCTCTCTCTAACCTCTCTAATTCGCTAGAGTAGTGGCGAATTATCAATCTGGTAGCTAGTAAACGATATTCTAGTTTTTGATGGTTAGCTATCGATAGTATTCTCGTTCTGATTTGAACTTTGCAATCGATGAAATGCCAATAGCAAATGTTTGACCTAAAAAGTGTAGTCTACTCAACATGTACAAAGAAAGGAGGAAGATTATTAATAAAATCATATTTTAGGATACCTAACATGTCTGTGATATTTGTTTATTTGTCTTGCCTCAAGCTATAATGCAAATCGATTTGTAAAATTTGCAGATTCATTTATGGTAGCTTGATATTATAATATTGACGATATATGGTTATTATCAACCACTCAAACATTGCATTGAAGTATCATATAGATTCAGTAAAACGGTAACCAATAGACTAGGCTACTATAATGACGCTGGCTTGTAAACGCGATCATTTGTCGTTATAAAAAAAATAAAACACATGAAATTATATTCATATGACATGCTGAAATATATGCCACTGTACCTGGGATGAAGACATTTCACACACGCGAGAACACCTGCATGTGACCTCCTCCTACAGTGTTCAGGGCTATCATGGTTGTCAACAAATGCACGTGCATGTAGGATGACAGTTTACGACAGTAGTAGAGGACAATACTGTTTCCCAACTGTAGGGGGAGCCCGAGAGCAAAAAACGACCTGTTGTTACTTTAATGTACACCTGTTTCACCTCTTATTTACCCCTTATTTACACTGCACACGTCTGCGGCGCGTTTTCAGCTGCGACACGGCTACCGGAGCTGATCGTGCCCACAAATCGGCAAATCACGTGGAAATGCTCCCGGTGCGAGTTGACACCGCGTGAAGGTAGGAATAAAACATTGTCGGGGCCATAATGCGCCGTAGATGTGTGCAGTGTAAATAAGGGGTTTACACATAGGCCTACTCCGTTTGCAGTGCATATTTTTTACCATACCCATGTCAACAGGTTGGAGCTTTCACTGCACGCGGATGCCCGTCCTGTGCGGTGCGTGCAGAGATCGTTTGTGCTGCAGGCGCTGAATTAAAGTGACAGCGCATGGTTCGTGGCAGAGCCATAGATTTCTCTCTATGGCTCTGGTTCGTGGTCAAACTGAACACGGATTGACATGAAAATATTAAATATATGCATTTAATTAAATTTATAAGTAGTAATGCATTGAATAATACGTTTATTGGGTTTAAACTTGAATACGTCTGTGAAAGAATGCATAGTAGGCTATACATTTTTTTTTAAACAACACGGAAATAGCGACAATTGTGCATATAAATTACTATATATGGGCTTAAAGTACAACCTGTGAGCAGTTTTTCAAGATTCTTCTGTGATCTTCGTTTTACACTTGTTGATGCGCAGCGGGTCATCTTAAAAGTGCCGTCAGAGCTACCTATCTCTGTTTAACGGCCGTTGGAGCCCTCTGCTGGTAGGGAATCGTAAGATGGCCGCTCGAACACTTCCGGTGGCAGTTTAGAACGTCATGAGCTATCCAGTCATTATTCGGTTGTTAAGTCTGACGTCACGCGTGACGTTTAGCCTCTTCCGGGCCCAAGCGCTCCGCTCGTCCACTCCAGATCCTAGACTAAATAAACCCTTCTCTTAAGGGCTTTTTTCGCTTCAGTGCCAGTGGGTGTTACTAGGGATTAAGGGATAGCACCCACTGGCGCCAAAGTTTCTTCATTCGTTTAAGATTTGTAACTTACCTTATCAACTGCAGCCATTTTCTCTTATCTTTCTCGTCACAGGGAAAGCGGTAGAATGACAGTTGAATGTCACTTGTTTTTTAACTCCGATCTATTTAAACAACACGGGAACACGTTAAAACTCGGGCGAAAGCGGTAGGTAGGTAGAGAGGACCCGGCCTTTGGACCCGGAAACAGTATTATCGGAGAGTGGTTACGTCACGACTTAACAACCGGATATAGATCAGTGGACAGTTCCAATGGAAGTGCAGTTTCTAATGATGCATTATTTCACTTCTTAGTATGAATATACATTTATATGTTCTCCTTCACACCACATATTGGATATTTCAGAAACATCAGATGATCAATGTTTAAAATGCCGCATATAAAGAAAATAATAATGTATTTATTAACTTTCATTTTATGGACTGTGGAAGCACACTTCATTTCCCAGAATGCACTAATTTATACTCTTTTTAAGGATCTTTTGTGTGTCAACATTAGAAGATTTTAGTAGACTCATTTGTCTTCCTTTAATCACTGATTTATTATTCTGTGAGCTGTAAATTAAAGCTACAAATGATCTAGATATAGTGTTAGAGGTCATCACATCTGAGTCTGTGCCGAGGAGCTTCTTTAGTCCGCCGGGGTTCGCTCCTTCTTCTTTCCGTCCCGTTTTGGTTTCTGTGAATCTGTGGAGAGAAGAACAACCATCAGTGTTAAACACACATGAATCTCATGAAAACACAGCTTCAGTAAAAAAAAAAAACCAAAATAAATAAATATATATATATATATAAATTTTGCATTAAGTACCATAGAGATAATTATAATTATTGTATTTTTTATATTTCCTGTTTTCATTTTAGTTAGTTTTAGTAATTTTGTTGTGTTTTTGTCATTTTTATAGCCAAAGTTTTAGTATGTCTATATTGGTTTTAATCATTTTTATTTCTGTTTTAGTTATTTTAGTACATCAAGTTAAACCGAATGAAAATGAGAAATGTTGCTGACATAAAATGACATTGTTTATGTTTTGTTTTATTCCAGTTAAGGTTCATTTTAGCAACAAAATGTTTTTTTTAATGATTTTAGTAATAGCTAGCCATAATTTCCCTGGTTTAAGAAAACAAAGCCTGTTTTATGCACATTAAAAGTGTTTTGCACTCTGACATTATTTTAATGACAATTTAAGCCCATATTCTCTTTGCTGTTATGGATAATGTGTCTGAATATGCTGGATGTTTTATAATTCTCATTATGATTCTCATAAAGTATCTTATTTTTATTTTATATTGCAGTATTTTGTTTTGTGTAAGATAAAAAATGACCATATTTTTTTATTTAAATCAAAATGCAACTGTGATGTGTAAATATTTGATCCATTACAGTAATTTCTTTGCATGATAATGAGAATTTGGAGACAATTTGACAAACACTCACACTAGAAATCCAGAAAAAAAATCACTTTTTAGTTTTTAGTGTAGTTTTAGTAATATTTTGAATTAGCTTTTATTTTTTACCTTGTAGTTTTCATGTTAATTTTAGTTAATTTTTTAGTCAATTTATGTGCTTTTGCCATTTATTATTATTATTTGAATATTGCTATTTAGGTTTCATTTTATTTTATTTATTTATTTCCAGCTAATAATTTTAGTGCTTTAATTTTATTGCAAAGGCAACAACACGTTTTTCTACTAAAAAATTTATTTTATTTGAGCTTTATTTAAATTAACAGAAATGTTTTAATAGATTTAGTTATCAATAATCACCCTTCCCTGAATTATTCTATTGTTATATAAGGATATTTATAAATGTTCCTCTGCATAAATCTCATCTCAGATATGAACTGAACCTTGACTTAGTTTAATTAACAGAGAGAGAGAGAGAGAGAGACCTGTTGATCAAAGTTTCTGAAGTGTAAAAGTTGATCTTGTCATCAACACCTGCGTCTGCGCTCGTGTCTGAACTCGCCAAACATCCATCGTATTCACACAGAATAATCAAAAATCTTCATTAAACTGAGTGATGATGAAGATTACATGTCAATAACTCCAACCAAGCGCTCATAGTATTAGGATCTCATTTACATAAAGATTACACCCATTCAAATCAAACACAAAAACAACCAAAAGACCATCAGAAGAACAACATCTAATTATTACAGAATGAAAGACAAATCACAAATGTATTGTTCCTTCAAGTCGGCAGTGACGTTCAATAATCCTGCAGATCTCAGACTCACGACTGCATCAAATCTCCACATGAACTGCGTCATTTCTCATCAAATGTGTGCTTTACAAGATTCACTGTATCGTGCGATATACTTTTGGAGAAGAGTTCTAGCAAATAAAGCTGTTATGATGAATAATAACTCCTGTTCTGCTTATTTCAGCATTTACACACTGAATAAATGACACCGGACACACAGAACAGGAATAACTCATGTCTTTATTCACTGTAAAATGATGTCACATCCAAGAGTTTGAAAGCATTAGTTTCTCCTCAGCTGCCCAGTATTTAGAATCTTTAACTGTCATTTTTTGAATTTGAATGGAATTCCAAACAGGAAGCAGAATTCTAATGTGACAGTTCCAATGGAAGTGCAGTTTCTAATGATGCATTATTTCACTTCTTAGTATGAATATACATTTATATGTTCTCCTTCACACTATATATATATATTATATAAAAGTATATTAATTGTGTTAAATGTAATTTCCCCATAAGAGTTGAATGAAATAATTGAGTGTCTCGTTAGTTTTGAAAGCGTAACATCTGAGCGACAACATTAGTCCAGTTGTGATCCAGAATGATGGAGGAACGGCCCAGTCATCCATACTGTTTGTTTTGAGCTGTTTTCAGGGCAGATTGAGTGTGTATTCACACACACACACACACACATCAGCATCTGCGTCTCATGAGCTGGACGGACCCCAGCGGTTCAGGCTGTTATTAGACAATCAGCCTTTAGTCGAGCCAAACCATGTGACCTGAGATCCGACACACAGAGACAGAAACACACACAATGTCCGGCCAATCAGAGGCTGAGAAAACCCTCATGAATATCAGCGCACTGCAAACATGATGCTCTTCCTCAGTGTTTCTGTCTGCTTCTCCAGCACACACACATAAACATTCATAATCCAGACACATTTACTGGAAAAACAACATCACTGAAGATTCAAGTCTTGTTTTCTGATCAAAAACGAGTTTGTGCTTAATAACACACGAGCAAACATCGAATGAGATTAAAACAAACTTAATTCAAAGGGAAAAGTAATTTTCTTTTTCTGATCCCATCGACCGATATTGTATTTGTTATTATTTTAGTCACTTAAAATCTTCAGTGATGTTGCTTCTGCAGTAACTGTGTCTGGATTATGAATGTTTATATGTGTGTGTGCTGGAGAAGCGGACAGAAACACTGAGGAAGAG